CTGTTAGAGGAAGCCGGAGTACCCAGAGAGAACCCAAGCATGCTCAGGGAGAACATGCAAACTCCATGCAGAAAGACCCCAGTGGGTAGCAGCAGTGCTTCCCACTGCTCCACTGAACAGCCTCAGTCATTTATTTAAATACAAAAACAATTTTTCCAGTGTTTGTTTTTTTTTGTTCTTTCTAAGAAGTGTTGCTTACACTTAATGATGAACTGAAATTCACTTTCCCAGAAAACTAGAGTATTAAATCAAAACAATGAAATAAGGATTTAAAAAAGTTTAAATCTACTTAAAAATATGTATTTTTTCTGCATTTTGGTGTGGCATGGAGATGATCATGCTGTGGCTGTTTGGATCCGCCGTCTCTCATCTCTCTCTTGATATTACCCTATTGATTATTTCTGGGTTTTGGCCAGTCTGCCTGAAATGAACTATGAGATGGCTTGGTGGTTAAAGCAGGTATTGGCTCTTTAGCTAATGTTAACTCTTACTGGGTTTCATCAGGGAGCCATGACTTTAGGACTTTATATACATAATGAACCAACACTAGTAGATGGCGTGGCTTTCTATATAATTTATTTTACACTGGAATTCACAGCATATATGCTCCTCCTCAGCTTTGATTTCCAAAAAGAGAACTTTAGACTACTAACTACTTTGGATAAAACGGATTTTGATTTTGTTTTTTGTTCAGAAGGACTTATTGCAACAAAAGCAGCCTTAAAGCTCTGACTTAACAAGCCCACCAATGCCTTATGAATCTCCCCCAAACTCTTGAATAGTGTTTGCTTCAAAGTTCTTCTAAAGTATGTGGTAATTATCAGTTCTTGTGCACTTTTCCTACTTGACCTTTTTCCAATTTAAATCTCCCTTCATCTACTATCTGAAAACTCAGCTTCTTCAGTGATGCCACTTAAACAATTGCCAAATGAACCATGTTTTTCTTGATTGTGGAAGGCCCTAAATAGCTCTAGATTCATTTCTTTATTATGTAATATTAGAATTGTTTAACAAACAGTTTCTCAGGGTTTTTATTTTCCGGAAACCATAATCCCCAAAATGAATGAGAAATACTAACTCAAAATTTATCAGTAAGTGTGTAATGAGTCCAGAATTTATGGTGCATTATTTTAGTGCCCCACAGTTAACTAAAAAACTGAAAACATTTAACGTATTGGTGATGCTTTAGGCTGCACAGTGAAGCTAGTTGAGCTTTTGCTTTGGACCAAGAAGATCCTAGATTTGAATTCCAGTCAGGGGGTTTGCTGCCTGGAGTTTGGATTTTTTTATCACCCTTGGGTTCTCTATGCGAACTCCAGTTTCCTCCCGTCATAAACAAACAAACAAAAAAACATGACTTATATATAAAATGATAAAAATGCACCTGTGTATATATGTAAATATTTACCCTATTTGTGCCACTATAAATGTTTAAAGACTATTGTAAAAGTAGAAACCCTTTTCAGGGCAAGGTTATGTAATATATTGGGCTCTGTTGGAGTTATTGGGATTTCTCAGTGCAAAAAGTTTTTATTTTCATAACTGCATATCAACCCAGCAAACTGAACCCCTCAGCGACTTAAAGCATATGCCTAGCAACAACACTATTAGTTAAAACGTTTGAGGGTGAAGACTATATTCTCTGAAACATTATAAAGTCTACAACTACTAAACTCCAAAATAAACTCATATCCTAATATTTGAACAGTTTAGAAGTTAATCTTAAGATGCAGGAGATGAATTCTTGCTGGCTGAATCTCATACCACGTAGTCTTTTTGGTTGGTAATACAGGCCCAGCACGCTGTAATTCTGCAGAAAAGCTGAGGATGGTAATATGGATAATTTCTCTGTTGGCTTTGGCTGATGCACTCAGAATTCTCTGCACATTCATCACTCCCATGTACACCCTTGGGTTATAGCGAGGTACAATTTGGTTGGTTTCGACAGTCTGTGTGCATCTTTTTGCATGTGAGCAGAAATGAAACAGGAACAAGAAACTGATATTAAGGCCTCATACTTACATGATGCACATTAGACCCTTCGGTTTTCTTGATATAAACACAAACATGCAGACAGATGCACATGGATAGTGAAGTATCAGTTATACTGTGACTATATACTCATTAAAACTGGATGGTTTCAAACCATTTGCCACCATAAATACAAGCATCATTTAGAAATCTTAAAGGGCTGCAGTCGCAGACGGAAGTTTCTGTCAGGAAGGACTTAATACACATGTTGGATACCATCTTAAAAAAGGCATGCTGTGAAGATGAAAACAGGAAGTGTGCTAAAGATGTCTGCGGTGATTTGTATACCTGTCGTGACGGCTCAGGAGTTGGTAATGATTTTTGCATTTTCCCTTATAAACATAATTAAGGCTGAGGAGAAGAACTGATGCAAAACTTTTTTAGAGAAAAATGTATGGTTGCTGCATCAGAGCAGAAGATGCTCTCCATATTCATTGGCACCACTGTTTTCAATGTGAAACTTATTGCTCTGACTGTAGAAATATTGTATTTATTTCCCATTATTTCCTTTAAAATCAACAGAAATTTCCCATTTTAAAGCATGGCTAAAAGAAAATGGCCTCCATGTCGCATGCTATAGAGTAGATCTGAAATAATAACTTAAGTAATTAATAAGTTATTTGACATTTTTTTTACCTCAAATTTTACTTCAAAGGTAAAATTTGAGGTAAGAAATGCTTTAGTGAAATTTGTTTAATAAAATATGCCACCTTCATTTTTTTTAAAAGCATTCTGCAGATCCTAGCAAATATATGGTAAAATGAATGTAAATGAATTTATGTGTTTAAAAGGATCACTTTTTGCAGTCGGCGCATGCCTATCCCTCTTATTTAGCAACAAGACTATTTGTAAAGGTTCTTCATAACTTTTTTAAACATGCTAAAATAGAAAAGTTCAATACTGTTTCAGAAAAAAATATTTCAGATTAATACCAGGATGGTTCTTCGGCTTAACTTAAAAAACAACTAAATTTACTGAATTTTGCAGCTAAACCCAGACTTCTAAGATATCAGTTGTGCTGCAATTTCTCTGAGTACAAATGACCTGGACTGATGCGCATATATGTAAATTCAAGGCCCACACAAGTTGACATTTTCAACTCTTAAGAATTTTTACACCATGGATTACATGGACTTCCCAAATGGTTATGAAATTACCGAGTAAAGAAAAAAAAAATTTGGTTGCCTATTAAAAGTTTTTTTTTAATCCTTGCTTTTTTCTCACTTTCTGCTCTCTCAGATAAATGTGGATTTGATGGGTTCATTTAACGAGGTATCAGTTAGGTTAATTTAGAAAAACTCAGTGGTGTGTGGTTTCTATAAATAGGAGCATCATGGGAACAAACATTGTTTGATTCCTGGCTGTGTTTGCATGTCGCTGGTTCAGACCAGGTCTGAACATCCCAAAGCCTTGATAAAGTCTTCTGTTGTATTTTGCCTGATTTATAATGAGTAAGGGAGATGAGCCAACCTGCTTTTGTAAAACAGTTTTATCAAATTGCCTTTGTTTTTTGCATTTTAAATGTTTTTTTCTTTTTTCATGGTCCTTCAATCTTAAAACCACCCTATACTAATCATTTAGAGTTTCCTTGGGGTATATAACAGTTGTGGGTCTAAAGGTTTTAAAATACAACCTTCTAAAGAGGAAATCAGGGAAACTTAACACGGTATTTTCAAGATAGAGTTTGGAAATCTTTGACCCTGAGGAATCTAAAAGAGGCTCTGTTTCTTTTTAAATCATCATTTGTGTCATTTCCTTACACCTAGGTCAAGTTGGGAGCTTCCTGACCTGCGAGACAGTAAGATCCGTGCAATAAGTGACTCGGATGGCGTCAACTACCCCTGGTACGGCAACACAACAGAGACCTTCACCGTGGTGGGACCCACAAAGAGGGACAGCAAGTTCACAGTTAACATGAATGACAATTTTTACCCCAGTGTCACCTGGGGAGTGCCGGTCAGCGACAGCAACCTGCCACTGCTCAGCAGCATCCAGCGCGACCAGAGTTTTACCACCTGGCTAGTTGCCATCAACCAGGCCACCTCAGAGACAGTCGTCCTCCGGACAATCCGCTGGAGGATGCGGCTTCACATTCATGTGGACCCAGAGAAACCTCTGGGTCAAAGGGCTGTTTTAAAGGAGCCTGTGGCTCAGGAACAGCCTCAAATATTGGGCAAGAATGAACCCATCCCCCCCAACGCCATGGTGAAACCCAACGCCAATGATGCCCAGGTGCTTATGTGGCGGCCAAAGAAGGGTGATCCCGTGGTGGTCATCCCCCCTAAATACTAATCTACTCCTACAGACCAGACTGGCCTTTCAAACCTCTTGTTTCATCTCCTATCTTGTTTTTTTTTACTCTCTTTTCACAGCCTCTCAGTGCTTTAATCTATGTTTTTTGTTATTTTCCCTATTATTTTGCCTCTATAATCTTCTCATGTTAGTGGAAAAAAAACCCAAACAAACCAACTGACATGGAAAGGAGGCTAATAAATCCATTGCAGAGAAAAGGAGCGCATGTTCCCTTCAAGGAAGGAATTTACTGCAATTACCTGCAACCATTCTACCTTCAAACAGAGGTCGGGTGTCACTGTGCTGAAATGCAAAAAGAACAAAAGCAGTGTTTTCATTTTGATTTAACTCTTTGGCTGGGTGAGGCAGCTGATGTCAACTGTGGTAGAGGTTAGGCAACATGTCTGCAAACATGCTGCTCAAACTGTGTACGAATACTAGAGGAATTTTTTAATATTATTTATAGGCTGGAGGAGAATGCATTCAATTGTGTTTTATGTTTGGTTATTTACACGAGGAATTGCAATGAGTGACTTTTAATCTAGTCTTTTTTTTAAGATATTCTAGACATTTTAATCCATGCTGCCTTAAGTTTACATTGCTTTCCACTGCAAACATGTTTTCGCCTTAAACTTAAGTGCAATGAAGTTATTTAGTCCTTTGTCCCAATTCTTCCACACTCTTGGTGTTGCTGGCATGTGTGTTTAGGACAAGAACCAGAGCACAGAAGCGAACCGCGTTTTAGATCCACACGTCTAGAAAACTCCAATGACATTACGAGTAGAAACAGTTACACAATCAAACTAACTCGGCTGGTTGTGTTTCAAGTGGATTATGCAACAAAAGAGAAGCTCTGTGAAGTCGTCTGTAGTGCTCAGCACGGTAAACTACAAGAACATCTGGAGAAAAATCTAGTGAAAAGCACAGTTGACCTCATTTTTGTCACTTTATTCTGCTGATAAGAACTTCATCTCAGGGCCTCCGTTTTACTTATTTCCTCTGTCTGCTTTCATCTGTCTTTTTTCCCAAACTTGTCCTACTGCTGTATCTCTATCTATGGCTTACACTGGACATAATGCAGCTTATCCTTTTTGTTTCTTTATCATTTAAATTGACACTTTCTCTGTGAGAAAAAAAAGAAATCTACAATAGTATTCTGCTAATTCTCTTTCTCACGTTATGTGTTCTCCGCTGTCGAGGCAGTGGGGAAGTTTAATGCCGACTGCACAGCTGGCATATAGATGACCCACTTCTCTTCTCTGCCAGTCGTAGCTCTCGCTGCATGCGGGGCCTGTCTCCCTTTATTTTACCGCCAGCTAGAGTAGCGCAGGCACACATGCATGAATAAAGAGCTCTGGTCAGCTAAATATCAGTCTCCCAAATCTGAATGCTCCTCTATCTGGAACACTTTACAAGAAAATAGAAATCAGAGTTGAATTTGAATTTAGGAATCCACCTCCTCCTTCCAGGTACGAAGCCAATGACAGATTTTTTTTTCTTTCCCAATTTTTATCCCAGCAGACAAATGAAATAGATAAAAACTTACCAGTTTATAAACTGAACCTCATATTTAAATGCAAACCTTGCTACAAACTGAATGACAATGGTGACATTTGCCTCATATCAGTATTCTAGATCGGAAACTGCAGTTTGAAACTGCAGCCAGGAAAAAAAAAAATCCCTCTGGTATTGTCTCAAAAAAAACATCTGCCACTGTCTTTGAAGCTTAACGGTTGAGCCATTTTATTTTATTTGCATAACATGCAAAAATAGAAACATAGCTTGCTTTAATATAAAGCTGGACTAAAGCTGGTACCTCTGCCTGAAAGAGGGGAGAGGCTTGACCCCACCCACTGTGACCCTGAACAGGATAAAACTGGAAAAAAAAAATTCTTAAGGATAATACGAAATTCTGAAAACCTGTGTGAAATTTTTCCTGTGACTATAAATGTGGGTTACCTCTGTGGGATAACATCCTCTAAAAGCTTTTTGAGAATGAAAGATGTAGACCCTTTTCAGTAAGTGTTATTATCTTATTAAGTAAACATTATAGTTGCTTCAATAAAAGCTATTTGTTCAATTTTACACCTCCTTACTGTTTGGGGGCAACTGATCTGAAAGGTTTTTCTTGATCCATTCTTAGTGTTTAACGAGGGAAGATAATTGGCAGCGTACCGCCTCATATCCCTCATTTCCTCTCTAATTAACCCTCCTCCCTTTAAATAACAGTGTTGTGAAAATAGTTTAAAGTTTTCGACAATTCTGTTGGCATAAATTTGACATTTATAAGATTTATTTATTTTTTTTATCTCCAAAAAGCAGATGTCTTCTATTACCTTGAACTAATTGTTTGCTTTATCTTCTGGGACAGACTAATTCAAATTCCCATTCCTCCTGCTGTAGATAATTCATTGTCTGCTACCTTTAAACAGAACCAATGCTGGAATATCCCTTAAATAATTTTAAATTCAAACATTGCTGAAGCCCATGGTTGGCTTAAGACAGCCAATGAGTCACAGGGCATCACTGGAAGTATTGAAGGAGAAGGGAGGCTACTGGGGGACGGCTGTCACATTTAGATATGCAGTGACATACTTTCTGAAGCTCTCTTTGGGCCGAACTGAGCTGAGCTGAGCTGGGCTAGTTCAAATCACTGCTCAGGCTTAAAGGAGGTCAAACAGTAACAGTAAAGGGCTGTCAGAGTGCAATGTAAAAGTGAAGGCAAACTGAATCCTTTCAGAAAACCGAAGCTACTGTGTTATGAGAGCAGCCTGGATGCAATCCAAACAATTTCTTTGTTATAAAACAAGCTTGAATATAATGTTTTTAATTTCTAACCGTTCTGCATGTGGACTTTTTATTTCATAGATTCTTTTAAAATCCCAGATGGACATCATGTAGCATAAAAATACTCTACCAAACAGATGCCTGCGCTAGTCTGCTGCCATTGTCTATCTATTCTCTCTCTCTCTCTCACACATACAGAAAGTTCAGCTGAGTTTATGTCCTTGTCATGAAACAGGGGTTGAGCAAGCCCACACCAGCACACAGCTTCCCCCTGAGGGGAAGGGCGCAGGCCGGACGCAGTATCTGATTGTCACCGCAGTGTCACTTTGGCAGAGTGTACTCATTTAGGGGGCCTGCACGTGGCTCATGCGACTACATGCACGAGAGAATGGAGCCATAAGCACAAACACACCTGCTCACTAATATTTAGAGAGTGATGTGCAGCTCGTATGTTTTGTTTGTTTTAATATTGCAATTTTGATAACAAAAAAAGTGAATTTAAGAGATCACTGAGAGTGTTTGTCAGTAATCATCAGTGTTTATATGTTGGGTTGAAGCTAAACGACACCAAGTGTCTTTTTCTTTATCTAAATCGTGTTCGATCATAATGTGTGATGTGTTCACACCAGGGGAAAATGACAGCAATGCTATTTGTGCTTCCCTAAAAAAAAAGCCACAGAAAAACAAAATTGAGATATTTTGATGAGGGTTTTTCTTTTTTGTTTTGTTTATTTTGTATTGATTGTGTTGATTTTAGCTGTTAAGATGGCAAGATGTGCCAATATTGGACAAAGCCAAACTATGCAGTGTGACGCTGACGGCCTCATGGACTCACAAACCTCCTGGAGATATGGTTCAAATGAAAAGTATTTTTTATTCCCAGAAAAGAATTTTGGATTGAATGATGTGGGGTTGAGTGCCAAGTGAATGGACATCTACACTTCAATAACCACACCTCTGCAGTTTTACCGAGGGCTGCTACCTTTGCCTTCCTGTCTTAAGTTGGTATATTATCTCCCTGAAGCAATCAGCACCATTTGGCCTCATTTCTTGGATTTTGTTTGTGTTTTTACATCAATTAAAATGTAATATAGGCTTCTATAGGTCATCCTGCTCTCTCATATTTTGTCAATAAATTCAGCTAATCGTTTTACAAGGTAAAACTCTCAAATGTAGTACAAAAGTCAATTGATGATACAGAGTTTCAGCTATTTCCTGGAAGTGCAGCACTGGAGTAGCAAAGGCAGAATGTGTTTGTCCTGTACCACAATACTTGAAAATAGGCTGGTACTGGAAGTTGTTTAAAACTGTGAAAATGCACAACACTGGAAATACAAGCCCTGATATATATATATATATATATATATATATATATATATATATATATATATATATATATATATAT